TGCGGCTGCTGCTGCGGCTGCTGGTGGGTATACTCAAAACCCTAAACCCTAAACCCTAAACCCTGCATGCAGACAAAGTGCGAAGAGGCTATGCCCAGCCAAGCAGGCAGAAAAAAAAGTAAAGAGAAGCAGCAGCAGCACTTCTGTCTCGCATTTGTTTAGTCTGCTAGCAGCAGCAGCAGCAGCAGCAGCAGCAGCAGCAGCAGCAGCAGGAGCAGGTTAGGAGCAGCAGCAGCGGCTGTTCTCCTGGGCTGGTTGAGGCACCTGAAGGCCTCGGGTGTAATTAAATAAAGGAAAATAATTAAAAAAAAAAGAAAAAGAGGAAAAAATATGTGTTGCTGCTGGGGTGTATAGGCACCTGGGGTGTTGGGGTCGGTGGTAGTAGAGAGGCTGGGGGCCCCGCTGCTGCGGTGTATGTACAGTGAGTTTATCTAGAGTGTAAAAAAACAAAAATAAAACAAAATTATTTGTTTAAATACATAAAATATAAATATAAATATAAATATAAACACAAAGAAAACACCGCCCGCAGCAACGGTGCTGCTGGCTGCAGCAGGACATCGGCCTGGGGGCCCCCCCTACCCTGGGGGCCCCCCCTGCATATTTACATACACCAAAACAGCGGCAATATATGCTTTTATTAATATATATATTTGTTTTTATTTATTTAATTTGTTTTTTTTGTTTATATAGATATATTTTTGTCTCTATAGAGACAAAAATACATCGCTGGGGGCCCCCCCCATACCCCTTCTTACTGCTGGCCCCCAGCACAGGGGGGCCCCCAGGGGGCCTCCTACCTCAGCCCGCATGCAGCAGCAACAAATATATTTAGGGTTTACTCTTTCTTCCTGTCTCCAAAACCCTAAACCCTGATTCTCTAGGCCTTTACGCCTACACCCCAGAAATTAGGGTTTAGGGTTTAGGGTTTAGGGTTTAGGGTTTGAGGGGGGTCCCCCAGCTGTAAACAACAGTTTTACTTAGATTCTAATGAAGGGCAACCATGCAGCATCAGCTGTTCATCAGGGGGCCCCTGGGGGGGCCCCCCGGGGGCCCCTTGGGGGCCCCCCTCGATGGTGTACAAAGGGGGGGGCCCTCAGGGGCCCCCAGGGGCCCCCTGATATCTCATATTTGTTTTCTGCGGTTTAGGGGGGTTTTGTTTTTCTTGTTTGTGTTTTTTCTTTTTTCTACTCAGCTGCATTTGGGGTTCTGCATGCGCCAGTACCCTTTGGGGGCCCCCCTCCAGGGTTTGTCTGTAGGGGCCCCCCACAGCAGTACCCTTTCTTTTAGCGAGAGGGGGCCCCCCAGTGCCT